TATGGGTGGCTCCCCGTCCGACCAGAAACAGACCCGAGCGTACGGCGCGTCGCGTTCCGCGCGCGCCTCAAAGAGCCATCAGACCACCACAGATGGGGCCCAATAGGGCCGATGCCGATTCGGAGTCGCGGAAAACCTAACGGGTAACCGGGGCTCCGGCTCGACGTGCAGGAGAAGGAACGGGGTGGTTTTTAGTCAGTAAGAGTATGACACTCCCTCCCGCCTCACCCAGGCGGGAGCAGTCATTCGATGATTTTCCCCCATTAAAAAAAAAATATATATTCTATATAACCTATATATAAAAGTTATATATCCAATACATGAAGCTACCTCATGAATAAACCTGTTTAAATTAGATAACATCAGTGCAATTCATAAAAAAAAATATATTAATTACTTAACTTTAAACTTCAAAATTAACAACTAATTTGAATAAACAGTATTTAATTAACTAATTCGTCTTTGTATGAGTAATATTTTCATTAATTCATATCTTTTAACAAAATATAATTATTTCCTAATGCATTTTGTTTGTTTTATGTATGTATTTTAATCTCGAATTATAATAATTTTAGCAGCTAAATACTTAGTTCAAGGCTAGGACCATTTTTTCAAGATGATGTTTCTAGTCTCATATAATAACGTCACAAATTACGATTCCACCTTGACTTGGCGTCGCCCATGGACACCTCGAACACAAGATGCGTCACCGGCCTTTTGGGGATTAGGATTTTGAGGATTGTTGGGGATTCAGGGATCGGGGAGATTGAAGAAGGGGGTGGGGATAATCGAGCCTCGGGTAACCTCACTCACAAGACGAAACAATACTACGCAAGCGTTGGTTTTCTGTCAGGCCGTGGTATCACTACGGCCGAGCCGGCCCTTCGTGCCGAAGGAGAAGAAGAAGAAGCCGAAAACTCGTATTATAACAATTATAATAATACAGAACATTACAAAACTATTAATTAACTTGTAGGCTTGTAATTGTTAATGTTACTTAATAAAATTTACATAAAATCTATGTAAACACGTCATAATAAAATACTAGTTTACCTAGACACTACCGGTAACTAGTCATGATGAAATAAATGTATAAATGACGTATAAACTCATTGTTTTGTCTTGTATAAATAAACAATGAATCATAATATAAAAAAATATGCAAAATGAGATGAATAACTTATTATAAGTAGGTTCTTAAACCTACTTATCGTCATATTTCTCCACAGCATATATCATCAACAGCCTATAAATGTCCACTGCTGAACTCTCTCTTCTCTCACGGAGAAGGTTTGAGCATTAATCACCACACTTGTTCAATGCGGGTTGGAGATTACAAATATATTTTCCTCACGATGTTTTCCTTCACCGTTTGTCAGTGGTGTCTAGATAATCTTAGAAAGTACCTACATATAACTCGGAAAAAGTCACATTGGAACTTGCCGTTGGTAGGTTTCGAACATGTACCCTCATGCTTGAGAAGCGGGCGTTTAAACTCGTCGAGTACCGTTATTATAGACACAATTAAAGAACAATAGGTTGCGGTCACCGGTGTCCTCGCGGTGTTTGATAGTTTAAACCTCCACTACATCTGATTGAGCATATTTACTTTTATGCATAAAACTTTTTGTTTTAGTATTTTTTCTCGATTTATGTCATATGTATTTTTTACTACATTATTACTGTGGCGCAGTTGTTGGACGATTGATTACTGCTACTTTAGAAACAAGTACTAAGTTGTTTTAATTTCAAATTGTGGCTATTAACATAACCCATTTTCGATGTGTTTGATAGGATAATAAAGATAGATAATTTGTTTGATTCAAGTTATAATAAAAGAAAGACAAGATAAACAAAACCGGTAAAGTTACGGTTCGGTTTCTCTCTTATATTTTTTGTGTAGCAATATCGGCATCTAAAATGATTCAGTTATGAAATCAATTGCAGATGTTTCATACTTTATTGTTACCATTTTATGGTGATTTAGGTGATTCTCTTACAATTCATCAAATCTGTCATATTGGAAATGATTCACCCAATATTACCTTTTTAGTTCTTATGAACGTAAGAAGGAAAAAAGGTGTCTGTGAATATCTGAAAATAAACACACAACAAGGCGGCGTGACCTCATAGAATTGTGAACTAAATCACTGTGACAAATTAATTAATAATAATAATCTAGATTGCATAAATAATTGTTTCATTATTCTAGATTGAATTTCAATGTCGCATGCATAATTTATTTTAAAACTGATCAAGTGTGGGAGAGCCATGCTTCGGCACGAATGGGTCGGATCGACCGGAGTGATACAGTGATACCACGGCCTCATAGAAAACCGACGTGTTGAGTTATGTTTCGTCGTATGAGTGGGGTTACCGGAGGCCCAAAACTTCCTCCCTAATCTCCCCAATCCCCGATTCCCCAACAATCCTCCAATTCGTTATCCCCAAAAGGCCAGTAAGGCATTTGTAACAATTCAGGTGTTTCGGGTGTCCATGGGCGGCGCCGATCGCTTATATATCATCAAGTGATCCGTCTGCTCGTTTACGAGCGTATTAAGAAACATACATTTTTTTTATATTTAATTGGCCAACGTTTGAGCACTATCTCGCCTGGTGGTAAGCGCTGATGCGACCTACGATTGAGCACATCGTCCCATAAGCAACCTATTCACTCGGGCCTTGAAGACATCCAGGTGAAATACAGACTCTTTTGCACTTCAACAATGTTACTGAGTGTATACCTAAATTTAAATAATATGAAGGCATTATTTAATATTTAATTTATTCATAAAAAAATGATACTGAAACCTAGTTAATAGAAGTCTAGATAATGTCAGAATATTGCATAATATCTATAATAGACGTATCTTTCATAATTTTTGATAATTACAATTTACAGTTATTACAAGGCGATACAGATAGACACTAGGCTAGTATTTCTTGGCCATAAAATCTATACATCTACTGAGTAATCTAAAAATATTATGTAGCCAGTTAACAAATAAGAATATTCAAATATTTTAACCAAATATTCCGTGCATAAGTGCTAAAAATTAACGAAATTTTGAAGACTCCATTATTATTTTATGAATATTTTTAGACACCGGTGAAGGGAAACATCGTGAAAAAATCTGGGCTTATAATTTCCAATTATAAGTTTGAAATCGCTAACCCGCAATGAGCAAGCGTCAAACCTTCTCCGTGTGAGAAGAGGGTTTTCCTCAGCAATGAGCACTTAAGCTGTTGAATATTTTTAACAGCTTAAAATACGACACAATTGGTTATGAATAGCCATGAAATAATAGTTTACTAAAACTAGGAAGTAAACAAAAAATATTCAAATGTTCGCAATAGCTTGTTAGCCATGATCTTCAGTGAAATCCTTGTAACCTAATATTTTGCTTTAATTTTATAGTTTCTACGAGGAACTGAGCTAGGGTCAAGATATTTCGATGCAAATATTGTTGTGTATGTGTAGGTCAAACTAGTATTTATTTGTTTACAATTTAGTCTTTATACTGATGTCATTATTTATAGAACGTTTCCTGTTCGTAAACTATGTCCTACCCAATAATCAAGTCGCGGAGAACCTAACCTAACCTAACGGGTTACCGGGGCTCCGGCTCGACGTGCAAGAGAAGGAACGGGGTGGTTTTTAGTCAGTAAGAGTCTGACACTCCCTCCCGCCTCGCCCAAGCGGGAGCAGTCATTCGATGATTTTCCCCCTTTAAAAAAACCCCAATAATCATAAATATTATGTACGTAAGAAGAAATCGACATTTGTTTGAAAAAAAAAGCGATCGACATAATTTTAATACGAGAGGCAAAAATAAATTGGCTGTACCGCAATTCCGAATGTCCAAAGTGCAGAAATCCTCTATGGAATTATGTGTCAAATGTTATAATAAATTATCAAGTAATCTTCTTGGTCTTGTATCAATAAGACTGTAAAAATCTTTTTTTAAAGAGTTACTATTGAATTTCTTCTTCGTTCCTTTCCATTTGAAGCTACACATTTCAACGAGCGCCTAGCTTCACTGACTGGGAAACAGACAGACAATTTAATTTTTAACGATCTAAAGTGTCTATTTACCAAGTTATTGAAATAATATGCTTTGACTTTGACTTTGAATCTGGAATTTTTAAATTAATGTCTTCAAAATTAGGATTACCATAGATATAATATTATTTATAATTTTTAATTTTTGAATTTTGAGTAATTCTGTAGTATAGACTAAATTAATGACAAGAAATTCAACTGACAAATAAAGGACAAAAATTATTATATTACGACAAGTAAGTTTGTTTATATCTTCAAATTATAATTAAGGACTAGAACTCTGACTTATTAAACAAAACGTTTGATTACACAGGACCGAAATCAAATATCCTAACTCTTACTTACAAATTATGAAATAAAATAAAATAATAAACTAACAAACAAAAATACTCACGAAGCTCTTTAAACAAACAGCCATTTAAAACACTAAATAAAATAAAAATGGAAGTCAAAAATCTACTGAGAGTAAACATTTTCACTGTGACGCGCGTCTTAGTTGCGTCTTTCGAAGTATCACAGCCACTACACGGCGGACTGAGATCAATTATGTTATATACCTCGGCCATAGAAGCGATGCGAAAACCAAGGTGACCAGTTAGGAACATATAAGTTGTATATAGACGCATGATTCGTACAAAAATGTTATTAACATACCAAAAAACGACAGCTTTGAATACACTAACAAAAAGAAGTATAATTGCTGTTGTCTATTCAGAACAATTGACAAGTTGTTTATCAACAAATCTATTAAAGGTTTCTCATTATATCTAAAAGTTTATCTTTATTCTATAAAAGGTCGTATGAATGTATTATGTAACTATTCTACTCCTGAAGTACATATGTGTAGATAACAGGTAATAGACTATGTTCAATAGACTCCTGTTCAAATTATATCCACTTCTTCAAAGAATAAAATATGTATATCATACTTTGCCAAGACATTTAAAATTTAGGGTAACGCTAAATTTTGTCCCGGAGGTTTAAGACGCCCGCTTCTCATGCATGAGAGCGCGGGTTCGAAACCTACCAACAGCATACTAATGTGACTTTTACCAAGTTATATATACTTTCTATCTAGAAAACACTCACAAACGGTGAAGGAAAACATCGTGAGCTTTCCTGAGCTTATAATTTCTAATTATAAATTTGAAATCGCCAACCCATATTGAGCAAGCGTGGTGATAATGCTTAAACCTTCTCCGTGCGAGAAGAGACCTTTTGTCAGCAGTGGCCACTTATAGGCTGTTGATCAACTTTTGACCTTTTCATGTTGATCGTAGAAAATTTCAATGAAGCTCCTGGAGAAAGGTGATAGGAACTCCCAAAATCTTTGCTCAATGGTTCTTACAGTCTGTTAAGAAGAGGTTACAACTACTTTCCATTAGTTATAAGTCCATCTGAAGGTTATGGATCATGAATCTGAAATCTAGGTCATCAAATCAATAATATAATTTGTCTATTTATAGATGATCTCCTACGTACCTAATTGTTTGTCAAGTAAAAGTCAGATTCATTTTGATGATAAAAACAGTATCTAATAATAAACGGATAAACCCGAAGATAATAAACGTAAATAAGACTATAATAAACATATTTCAGATATACTAACATGAGTCAGTATTGTGGTGTAAGAAAAAAAAAATAATTGTGTGCAAAAAGTTCAATAAAAATAGCTACAAGAAACCATAATAACTAATTAATGTAGTCAGTTAATTGACGCCCAAAGAGTTCCGTAATATGTAAAGACGAATATAGACAAAGGGAAAAAATTAAAACGCATGCACACACACATATGAGCTTAAATTCTTACACAAATTATTATAAAATGAAGGTCCCTGCCTCAACTCAAAAAGTACTGAATGGATTTGTATACAGTTTTTACCAAAAGATAGAGAAGTACGTGATCAAGGTTTGTCTCTTACGAATAGAAGGTAAGATTGGAATATTGCAATCTCACTCAGGACTATGGAGAGTAAAGGAATAAAATGTGAATCTGTGTTTGCGCACGCACTTTTGCACTATGATATCTCATATCGTCAATTCCATATAATTTGGTATTCTATTCTACATGTAGACAAACGCTAAATGGCATTTGGCTACAGGATCTGGATCAGGCTACAGCTTCAGGATAGCTTCTGTTGAAGTTTTCCACCATGACCCAAATTTAGAGGCTAAAGATCAGCATCAAAGGTGTTGCTCCATAACACCTGACGACTTCAAGTTATATGCCACAGAACACATCAATCTGAACCTTTTAAACACAGAACCCAATCAATTTGAAAGCAAAAAGCAACATAAAGATATATTCAGCAAAACATTATATAGCCAAAAATAAAAAAGCATTCACACGCATACGGAATCTTCCACAAGGATTCGTAAAAACATAATTGTAGGCTTGTGTATGAAGTCACACAGCTTATGTAATAAAATAATGAAACTTTTATTAATAACAACATATCACTCATCTTTACCAGTGGAGGGGTAGACAGAGGTGTATTATGTGTTTGTGGAGGTACAGTCGGTGCCAGCGTTAGGGGGGGCGTGATGGGGCGATGGCCCAGGGCGACAAATTCTGGGGGGCGCCAAGGTTTGAAGTTGGAGTCTCTTGCCTCTCGGTGCGAACCCTCAGAACTGTGCTCTACGCTCTGTGCATATGGATATTTTTTATTGAGATTTTTTTAGATGGATTTTTTGGGGGTTTGTTATCCGCGTCGTTACCTCTGGGTAACGCTAAAGGAAAGATGAAATTCTTAATCTAATTTTACTTGGGATCAGCAAAAAACTAACACTTGATATTGCTTCCTTCAAGTGGGCGCCACAATATTTTCGCCCGGGGTGTCAGTGGCCCTTACGCCGGCACTGGGTACAGTCATATTAGGAGCAAAGGGATGACTCTATTTACCATAATATATTATTGTTGGGAATCTTTAGAGATAGAAGAAAATTTTGATCGGTATAAAAGGCAGGTCGAAAGCATAACTGCGCCTTTCGTTCGTTTTTCGCCAGACCGTCAATACGTTTTTCCTGGCAACTAATAGACTTGAACTTCGGACCGCACTCTCATGCATGAGAAGCAGGTATGAGAAGAATGAGAAGAAGCATATGTAGGTAAAAGAGGTCCTTAATGTAGTTGTCTAATCGTAACGGGTTGATGATATTGTTATAAAGTTAAATACAAAGTATACGGACTTTGTACCATAGATTGACCATTGAGCTCATTTCGGGGTTTTTTCTTTGAGGTATAGTCGTGGGAAACAGTTCATAGGTCTCAATGGTCGAGTGAAGATAATGCTAGCGATGTGAAAAACAATAAATTAAGGCTTACAAAGGAATGACCTTTAGGTTTAATAATACCTATAGGTACTGGCGGCAGGTAGCAATGTACATCTTCAAATATTGTGTTTTCTTCAGTGTACTTTAAGTGTAGGAGAGCCATGCTTCGGCACGAATGGGCTGGCTTGACCGCAGTGATACCACGGCCTTACAGAAAACCGACGTGAAGCAACGCTTGCGTTGTGTTTCGTCGTGTGAGTGAAGTTACCAGAGGCCCAATTACCCTCCCCTTCCCTAATCTCCCCAATTCCTGAATCCCCATCGATCCTCAAACTTCTAATCCCCAAAAGGCCGGTAACGCACTTGTAACGCCTCTGGTGTTCCAGGTGTCCATGGGCAGCGCCGATTGCTTACCATCAGGTGATCCGTCTGCTCGTTTACCGGCTTATGCCATAAATATATATACATATATTTAAACGATGAAGTGTTTATGCCTAATTTCTTGTATGTTATTCCCAAAAAGGATGAAGTATTGAGTACTGAGGAGTAAGCCTTACTTAAGCATTGCATAAATACCTTCTGCATAAGTCAATGATCTAATAAGACCTAAAAAGTCTTTGACCTGTATGCCAATGTGTACTGTAGGTAGGTGCACTGTAGTGCATACACTTTTTATTATGAAATTTAGTGTTTCATGGAGATGGGTAAGACGTTATGTGGTATAAGCATTTTGTAAGTGTAGTGTAGTACTAAAGAAAAGAAGCGAAAGAGGTATGTAAGAAACGTAGCAATTGGCGTTTCATAGCATCTGCTTACCCCCATGGGAGACAGGCGTGACGTTATATATATATATATACTAGTCATACCTAGTGTCTGCTAACGGCCTCGCCCACGTCCCCGTAGGATAAAAGTGGCTTATGTATTATTCTAGACCATAATCTACCCCTGTTCCACATTTCATCTCGATCACTTCAGCCGTTTTGACCTGAAAGGGTTATAAACAAACATACAAACACACAAACTTTGACATTTAAAATATTAGTACGGTGTGGTTATATATGTTTCAATTGCTACCGTCTATCCGTGCTACTACTGAGTTTAAAAAAAAAACAAATAATACTTTGCCCGACCTGGGAATCGAACCTGAGACCCTTTGCCCGGCAGTCACACTTGCGACCACTCGACCAACGAAGCAGTCATTAACTATTTTATTATAATTATTATGATTACGTAAATGCATTGAACCATTATACATATTATCTTATATAGCATAGAAGGAATTGATGGGTTTTCAATAATATTTACATAATTATTATACTTAAAGCTCTTATGTTTTAATGGGATTCAATTTCACACTAATTGTATTGTATGAGTATATAATATGTGAAACTATATGTGGCATTTTCCTCGTAAAGGAAAATCAGGGTTTAATACTAACAAAGTATGTCGTTCCAATTGAAATAACTATTGAAGAAAAAACGTAAAAATATCCGATCTGCACCGGAATCCAATTTATCAGATTAATAATATGTAAATAGTAATCTCTTAATAATAAAGAATCAAAAATTAATCTTACATAATAATTCGTACACAATAGCACTTCCGCAACACCGAAAAGTTTCCACTACGAACGAGAATTATGACTAATGTTATTTAAAAAATAGATGACGCTTAGTCTATTTTAGTTCATAAATATTAAAATATTTCGTAATGTAAGAGAAAGAATCGTACACGTAGTAAAATATATGTTTAAGAACGGATATTAACCATGTTACTTAAACAGTTTAGGAGAGCCATGCTTCGGCACGAATGGGCCGGCTCGACCGGAGTGATACCACGGCCTCACAGCATTCCGACGTGAAACAATGCCTGCGTTGTGTTCGTCATGTGGTTACTGGAGGCCCAATTACCTCCCTCCCCCTTCTCCAATCTCCCCAATCCCTGAATCACCAACAATCCTCAAATTTCTAATACCCAAAAGGCCGGTAACGCACTTGTAAGGCGACGCCAATTGCTTAACATCAAGTAATCCGTCTACTTGTTTACCGGCTTATTTTTTATTATATAACCATTTAATATACACATAAATAAACAATCCAGCTTCAATGAACTTTGTTCGGACACATTGCACGCTGTTCTTGAACTTGCACCGCTGTTCAGTGTTGCAAATGCCAAGGTTATCACGACCACTCTATCCTCTAATCTGAGCTAATCTATGTCACAATTAAACCTGCTTATTCATTCTCGTCTCATTTTTTTATAATACTTTCAT